CAATATTATCCCCAAAATAGTTTGAAATCACATGAAAGAAATCCAAAATTACTCAAATTCATCAAAATATCCAGTGTTCAGACTGAGACACCTGGATGGATGTAGAACTGATCTGGTGTCAGGTTCTAGCAGAACCCAGATGTGTTCTTCCTCCTAAATGTCATGTGTCTATCTGCTGGACTGATGAAGTTCTGAGGCTCAGAAATGATGGAAAAAGTCCATTAAGGTGATCAATCTGGACCCTCCTCTGTGGACCTAAAGGACCTGGACCTCTACTAAAAGATCAGCTGATTCTGGGGAGCTTTAGTGGGAACATTTTTCAGACTTGGTTGATTCGATCCAGAATGATTGCTGCACTGTTTGGGTTTTCCAGTTTATTCCGTCACTTTTCCAGTGAGGACACGTTTCATTTCCAAATCCTGCTGAGCATCAACGCGTTCTGTGGATTCGGGAGACGTGCGAGTCGCTCTTCTGTTCCGTTTCCAGTCGAGTCGCCGCTCAAGGCAAAGCAAATGTATTTATGCAGCACATCTCGCATGCGGAGGCGATTCAGTATGCTTTACATAATTAGACACAAACTTAGGGGCGGCTGTGTTATTAAAACTCGCCACCAGACAACCACGTTGGCCGCTAAGTCTATTACAACTGAAGGAACAGTCTGACATTTTTAGAAATGTTCTCTGCCGGCTGTCTGGTGAACCCACAGCGATGAAGTGAGGACGTGACGCCGTGGATTAGCTGCTTCTCACTGCCTGTAGCCTCATGCTAAGCTAAGCTAACTGCCTCTAGTTTCAATGCACAAACACGACGGGTATGTTTTCATTTAGTTCCTGGTAGAAAAGATGCTTTCTGTTTCCAGCTGCATGTCTCAGCTTCTTGCAGCTTTTCATCCAGTTCTGCAGAGTCGAGAAGAAGCTTAAAACATGTTACTAAACCGATGATAATTTCCTAAACTTAACAAAGTAGTTCTGGAGTGTAGCGTCAACCAAACTGCTAACAGGTGGTTTTAGTGTGAAAGTACCATCTGAGGTTCATGTTTTTATGGTGCTGACAGTAAACTGATGTGTCCCGTGCAGGTGGACGGGGAGGAACGGGAGTACAGCGAGGACGGCTGCGTGAAGGAGCCTTCGGGGCCGCCGTCGGCCGTCGCTGTCCCAGAATCGGCCCTGAAGATCAGCCACACGTCGCCTGACATCCCCCTGGAGACCCAGACCAAGGTGGAGAAGAACCAGGTCCACACCCTGGCCAGGGACCGGGTCCAGAGGCAGATCACTGAGCCTACCTCCTCTGTACGGTCAGTGCACACCCTGAAGCTCACCGAAAGCTCCTGGTTTGGAGATATCTCATCAGGGAGTTGACGGTGAACATCAGGTGTGAGGGAGCGCAGTCGCCTCTGCAGCTGCTTTACACGAATACAGAAGTTTTAGGAATGTAAATAATCTAAATGAACAATGTCCTGGTCTGATTCTGAGTCAGGACTGAGGCTGATCAAGGCCTTTCTTTAACTGACTGATCCTTTGTTTACATCTGCTGTCACACCGGTGTCCTAAAGATGGGCACAACTTGTGGAAGAATTTAGGAATGCAAGTTTTGGATAATTTTCTCAAGCAGTAATAAACACACATTAAACATAGCGGACATCTGACGTGTGCTAATTTTGCCGTTTAAGCGCATGAACTTCGGAGGTCCTGAACCTCCTCAGAGTCTCTGTCATGTTCCCGTTGCTGCTAAACTCCCACAATGCTCTCTGCTGCCAACATGAACTGTCTTCTGAGTGACGCCTCCTCTGGTCTCTAAACAGTGAGAGGCTCCACCTGGTGGAACAACCAGGTACTACAGCTGATCTATGATACATTTTCTGAGCTGTATGTAGAGAATACAGGTTTTCTTTTCGAGCTTGTGGAGTCACTGAACACCCTCCACATTCACTGTTAACAGACATTCAGCTGTGCTAGCGTTTGAAACGCCTAGCTTAGCATTGTTAGCATGAGGTAGCTAGCTAAATTGGACAGCAATTTAATGCTGCAGAGTTCATGAACATGAACATAGGAAGGGCGATTGTTCAATGGACCCTTACAGGTGGTCACAAACACACCTGTAACTCCATCTGATTAAACAGTGAGAGGCTCCACCTGGTGGAACAACCAGGTACTACAGCTGCTCTATGGTACATCTACTGACATCATGTAGAGAATACAGGTTTTCACTTTGTTTTGGAGCTTGGGGATCCACCCTGCAACCTTCTCTCACAGACACTCAGCTGTGAAACTCCTAGCTTAGCATTGATAGCATGATTGTCAGGTAGCTAGCCAAACTGGACAGCAGGTCATCTTGACATCTTTTTACAACTTGATGGTGCAGAGTTTATCAACGCTACTACAAGGAGGTGCACTTGTTTTATAGACCCTTAGAGTCGATCAGCAAACACACCTGTAACTCCGTCTCATTGAACAGTAAGAGGGTCCACCTGGTGGAACAACCAGGTACTACAGCTGGTCTATGACACATTTACTGACGTACAGGTTTTCTCCATCTGTTGGAGCCTCAGTACATCCTAACTCTACACTTCAGAAAGTGTTCTACTGGAGCTTTACGATATGGTTCATGAACACCTATCAAACATTAGGCTTGGAGGTAGAAGTGCATTTTCTTTCTTCATGCATTGCAGAGATGTCCAGTTATCAAGCAGATACTCTTAACTGATTCTGACAACTTTATTGCACCTCAGGTGTATTTTATCTTGGAAAGTGGTATCAGATTGGGTTCAGTGTTGGCAAACAGTAAACATTTGATGATGTAATATGAAGTACACCCCTTTGTTACAGGCACAACTCCATCCGCCGACAGATGAACTTGTCCAATCCGGACTTCAACCCGGCTCAGTTCCAGCGCCAGGACTCTCTGTCTGGTTTGGGCCGGATCAAACCGGAGCTCTACAAGCAGCGGTCGGTGGACGCGGAAGATGGCCGCCGGAGCGACAGCTGTGGGCGTCTCCACTTCATCCTCAAGTTTGACTTTGACCTGGAGCAGCTGATCGTGAAGATCCACAAGGCCCAGGACCTTCCCGCCAAGGACTTCTCAGGGACCTCCGATCCTTACGTCAAGATCTACCTGCTGCCCGACCGCAAAACCAAGCACCAGACCAAGGTGCACCGAAAGACTCTCAACCCCGTGTTCGATGAGGTGTTTCTGTTTCCCGTGGCGTACGCCGAGCTGTCCAATCGGAAGCTGCACTTCAGCGTCTACGACTTCGACAGGTTCTCTCGGCACGACTTGATTGGCCAGGTGGTGGTGGACAACTTCCTGGATCTGGCCGACTTTCCCCGGGAGACAAAACTGTGCCGGGACATTCAGTATGTAACCTCGGTGAGCGCTTTCGTCCATTTCTCTAAATTCTATCACTGTCTGTCTTCATGCATTTCTCAGTATAGAACGTCTTTCTTTACTGTCAGGATGTTGGTACTAGTGAGATACTGGAACCAGAACTCAGGCAAGTTTTCAGTATCTGCATGGGAACATTCAGCATGAGGTCAAATAAGCTTTTTATGATGTTAAATTACAGCACGAATCAACATGAAGCATCTTGTAACTCTGAACATCTAGAACCAACATCTAGAACCTCCAGGTTCTGGTTCCTACCAATGATCCACATCTACATTTAGTCTGAACATCTAAAACCTGGAACCTGGTCTGGTCCAACTTCACCACATCAGGTTCTACTGATGTTAGAACCTCAACAGGTGGTGAAATGTGACCAGAGACTGTATTGTTGGTAGCAGCATGGATCCATCCATAGACAGACACTGACAGGAACTCTCTGTGGATCGATACCAGCCTCAGTTGAACATTTTCCAATTTTCTTTTCATTTTTATTGTTAATTTGGACAATTTAAGTAATTTTGGACTAAATTTTTAGTAACTTTAAACAATTTGAAGTAGTTCAGGACACATTGTTGTTAGTTTTGGACACGTTTTGGATAATTTAATGTCAATTTTTGGACCATTAAGGTAATTTTTTTGACCAATTTAGGACTTTTGTGTTATTTTTTTGAGAATTCTGAGTCATTCTGTACCATTTTGAGTACATTTTGGACAAAATATAATAATTTTGGGCCAATTTTAGGTTGTTTAGGACGATTCTATGACAGTTTTGGACTAATTTTTGATAATTTACTGTCAATTTTTGGAAAATTCAGGACATTTTTGTGTATTTTTAAAAAAAATAATTTTGGACACAAATCCAATTCTACTGATGTTAGAGCCTCAACAGGTGGTGAAATGTGACCAAAGACTGGATTCTAGTAGAACCATGGATCCATCCATAGATAGACACTGACAGGAACTTTCTGAATATCAACACCAGCCTGGTTTGAAAACGTTGCAGCTTTTAGGGTCCAATAATTATTCATTATTGTCATTTTTGCACAATTCTGAGCCATTTTAGACAAAGTTCAATAGATTTTGGACAAGTTTCAAAGATTTTCTCACAAGATTCAAGTAATTGTTAATAAAGAAAGTCAACCAATGTCTGTATTCTTAGGAGGAAATATGGATCCATCCATATAAATACACTTCTGAGGACACAACACAACACTCCTTAACACTTATTCTTCCATTTTCAAGTGGCTGTAATAAAAAAATGGCCTCTGCTGGAGCCATTTGATCATTTTGATCTGCTGGAAAGAATTGTGTTTGTTTCCTCACCACTGTGGGAGTTTTATTTCTGGAGAACCAGAAAATTAAAATTGCGTTCCAGGTTTTTTTTGAGGGTGAAAATAGAAAATGTTGCATATGGAACCGTCGAAATTCAGCCACAAATATTTTGCAGAGTTTAGTTTTGGTTCCCAAACTGCAAATCAGTCAACTCTGAACAAAATCTGACGACATGTTTTCTATTTTTTCACTCCTTGGTGACAGTACGATGAGGATCTTTGGATTCTGGACAAAACAAGACATTTGTGGTCTTTGGGAAACACCGACATTGTTCGCTGATTCTTTGACATCTTATAGACCAAACAACTCACCGATTCATCGAGAACCAGCAGATAAGTTGCTGGTTGCAGTCTTGGTTTTCAGCCGGGTAGATTTGCAGACCTGCAGTCGCTCTATCGGCCCTTTTCCTCCCGTCTGGACAGAATCTGCTCAAACAATCAGAAAGAGCCAAAACTACTGTAAGATGCTGTTACAACAGCAGAGGGAAGAAAACATATCAACGGACTCGCATCTAATTTCCTCCCCGTGTGGAGCTCGTCTGTGGTTTTGAGAGGCAGAGACACAGAAATATACTTAGACACGGTTAATGTTTAATGAAAGCAGGAGGAAACACTTGGGGGTAGTGACCCAGATCTGCACCGACATCAGACTGGGCTCGCTTTGACAGAGATACAGCGACACCGTCTATATTACATTATTCACTCGGATAAATCCACAGCGTCGGTGCGCTGAGAAAGTCGGAGAGGAAGCTCGATGCTCCTGCCAGGGAATTCCTCCCGATCTGACTGTGACTGAAGATCGCTCAGCTTGAAATAGGAACTTCCTTTCTTCTCGTCTGTGAGCAGATTGTCAGATCACAGATTACAGTAATCACGATCACACATCAGACCGTCGTGGGGTTAAACTATTCTGCATATTCAGGCAGTTTCACATAAAGAATCCGTGTTTTTTAAGGTGAAGTCTGAAACATCAGAACAGAAATCACTGCAGATGTGAGGCCTGAGTGAGTTACAGGAACGTTTTAGCAAAAAGACTTCATTTGAGCCGATATGAGTGTAAATAAAGCTGTTGTCATTTACAGATGTGACTGTTTCTGTAGTCAGGCAGCAGAACGAGGATGAAACAGCGACTGAAACTCGTTCATGTTAACCAGCGGCACTTTTCCAAGCTGCTGAAATACCGATTTTATAACACAGTCACCAAACACAGGAGGCAGAAACAATGATGGTGCTGAGAATTCACACATGTTTAAATACAGGTCAGTCTTCTTCCTGAAGGGGGCGGGGCCTCACAAACAACCTGGCTGGAACACAATTAGTTAAACAGTCACGGAGAAATCAACCATATTTTTGGCATTTTGAGCCAAAAAAACTGAAAGATGCGTTCCAGGGACATGTGAGACTTTCATTTATTTGTCAAATATGACTCAAAATGTGTCTAAATTGACTCAAAACGCGTTCAAAATCAATCAAAATGTGTTTAAAATTACTCAAAATTAAGCTAAAATGCTTTGAAACTCATCCAAAATGACCCAAAATGTGTCTAAATTAACTCAAAACCTGTAAAATGTCTGAACCACGAGCAAAGTTTTCTGAATGTTCTGCTGTTGATGTCGAAGACGACAGAAGATCTGCACAAGAATTCCTCAAAACAAATTCAAAATGACTCAAAATGAAGCTAAAAGGCTTCAAAACTCAGCCAAAATCAATCAAAATGTGTCAAAAAGACCAAAGTTTTGTTGAACAGGCCTCAATGTGAGACCTTTAGGTGAAACGCTGAGACTCTTTTCTCATTATAACTGATGAAGCGGCTCATGTCGGTGCTATTTGAGGACCCAGGTGTTGCAGATGTTCCCAGAAACGTTTCGCTCTGCTCAGAATCCGATGACGGTCTCTGGAGATGTGCGAGTAACGGCAGTGAACTGGTGGAACTGAACACATTCATCAATCAGCTGATGAAGACTCATTTAAATCTCTGAATTCATATTCATCCACGTCTCCAGAGCGGTTCATCAGTGGCTCAGAGCTCTTAATGGGCTTTTTCCTTTGTTGTCGTCCTGAAGCTTGACTTTCTCTGACATCGTGTTTGTCTGTGTTGTCGTGCAGGTAATCTAATAGATTTGACACTTTGCTGCTTCTTCGGCGTTTGTTCTCCGTCCTCGGCTCGTTCCTTCGGGTTTGCTTCCTTCAACACAAACATACTTGTGAGCGTAAAAAGGCTGTTTGGAAGAAGAGAAGCCGGAGTCGGAGAGACGACTGGATGAAGAGCGTCGACGCAACGTTCAGTGAAACGTCTGCAAACGGTTACAGAAGCGTGACTGCTAATTCTTCTGTTGTGTCGCTCAGACGGACGAAGTGAAACGCTGACGTTCGTCCTTGTGAACAAAACTCAGCCTGTTGCTGCAGCGCCACATTCGTAGAGCCTGACTGTTGCCTTAGAACCACCAGAACCCATCTGACGCACAAACACATGCAGCTTTGGTTTCCTGACCTATGACCCTCGTATTTCCTTTGGATCCACCATTTGGTCAAAGTAATGACATCACCATGAGCTCCAGTTGTACTTGTTAGCGAATGTTAGCATGCTAACATGCTAAACCATCACGGGGATCATGCTAGCATATTACACCTGCAAAATATTAGCATTTGTTATTTGCTACCTTCAAACTGGAACCCTAGTCGGCGTTTAAGCGGTATGTCCACTAGTTTGAGCACATGGACGGTATTGTTGACGTCTAGAATCCACGAGGCTAACCGTGTAGCATGCTAATGAGCAGTAAATGCAAAGGCTTAATAGAAAGATGAGGATGTTGGGAATATTTTTTATCAGATGACATAGAATTACAAAAGCTTTACGTGTCTAAAATTGCAATAAATTAAAGACAAACAGCATCTTCTGCTGTTCAGACGGTCACATTACCGTACAGCACACGTTGACACAGCACAAGATTTCTGGAGAATTTAGAATTTTCTTTTATAGAAAGTGCAGTTGGGCTGGGAAACATCTACAAATCAAAGCTCCTCTGAAGTCCTGCAGCGACGACTTCAGTTCCAACTACATGCAGAAGCAGCGACCTAACCGTTAGCTTCAGGAGGACTTAGCGCTACATCACGCTGCAGCTAAACATTTGTCATTTGCCGCCTTCAGGAGGAACTTGTGAGTTTGTCGTTATGACCTGAGACCAAATGTTTGGAGTTTAAGTGGAATATCAGCCATGAGTTTGGGAACATGGACGGTATTGTTGGCGTTGAGAATCCACAAGGCTAACGGTGTAGCATGCTAATGAGCGCTAAGTGCAAACGCTCAATGAAAAGACGAGGATGTTGAGGATATTAGCGTTTCCCTCAGACATTAGTAGAACAAAGAAGTAAAACTATATGACTAAGATTGCGATATAATAAAATCAAACTGGTTTCCAGACTTTAAAAGCGGCTAATGGACGTCCATGTGGCCTTTGACGGTCATCGTGCGTCTCATTAGAAAAACCCTCAGGGCTCCTGGAGATGTTCCTCAAAGGCTCGGACTTTGCTTTTTTTTATACTGGATCTAACAGATGGTAACTGGAGCCTCATGGGTTAGGGTAGGGCTAACCCTAACCCATCACGTAGCGCAGGATTTCTGGAGATTTTAGTCCATCAATGGAAAATATGTAC